CAACTGCAACAAGTACAAAGCAGCACCGCTTCACCTGCTTCACCCGCGTACGTCAAAAAACTAGGTGGTTGCCTGCATGCAGGGTTCAGTGCAAACACTCAACTTCAAGAACAGCAAAGACAATGTGTTGTTTCGGAACACGCATGAGAACTACTTCGGGGAAAAATAAGATCCTTGGAAAGAATCACATTGAAGGATATTCCAATACTCACAAATATTTTAAGAAATACATCCCACATAACATTAATGAAATCAAAAAATAAATATGGGAAAAAATCGAAAATATTTTCAGAGCAGAGCAGAAGGCTTAGACGATTTACTTCAATTAATCGAAGATGTCTGGTTCTAATGGCATGGTTATACGTGCCAAATCTGTCTTAACTGAATGATGAAAATTTATTTACACTATTTTTCTTCTCCATAACACAGTATCTGATTTGGAAAACATGTTTAAGATTGAAAACGTTAGTACTGAGGTTTCCTACAGATATTTCTAAATCCAAAGGCATCCATACTTTCATCGATTTAGTCACATCTTAAACAGATCGGTCATTTGAGGAATCATGCGTTTAGTTTAAGGTTTGCAATTAGGAAACTTACAATAAAAATAGTGATTCTATAGTAGGAATATATCGTGCTTTATGAGGACATGACGAGCGTCAAATTCGTTCATCTAAGTATATAATAGGCAAAACTGCTAAGAAATTTGAAGAAACTGAATCTGAATCAGCAGAACAGTTTCCAGAACATCTAGTTTATGATTTTGGCGACGTGAATCAAGTCCAACTATGGATGCGTGATTCATCAGCATAATTGAAGAAATCTTTAAAAAGACAAAAGAATAATATTTGAGCTTTCGACGGTCACCCATCTTAGGATATCTCGTGGAGATATCCAATATTCATATACAATGAGTTGTTGTATTTCATACGTAATGGCAAGATTCAAACAATATGTCTAAATAAAATTTTTATCAGTTAGACCATAAATCTTAATCACAAGTATGAGTTCCTAACATTTGCTTTTGGAACTACAAAACGGATAACCCTGTATTCATAAAGTTGATTAAATTAGCAATGAAATACAGTGAAAATATATTTTTGTTGACCAATTTAGTTTTACTGGTTTAATAAATACTATATACTATGGAATGTAAGTTTAAATAGTACGTTTGCATTCAAACAAAGATCTCAAGTGGGTTCTTCTTGTGGATTCTTTTAGGGATGGAGGATGCAGTCCTTGTATAAGAAAAACTATTCTAACTCATTTAAAATCCAGAACAGTTACTTGTCAAATCCAAACACATCAATTTCTTATATGTACCGCAATTGCAGTTTTACTCTTCATGATGATGTTATGAATTATAGGGTCTAAATACTGTTTAATCATATGCCAAGTATACAAAAAGCATAGTATTAAGAATAATGCATGTGGAGAGGCAGTGTCCACCTAAATCTCAAGAAATCTCAAGAAAATTGTTCTATCGCATAATAGGAGATATGTCGTAAAGATGTCCCTGGCATCATAGAGAGCAATCACGATCTGGGCAAGGTGACCGTAGTCGCTAAATTGGTACTACTAAATATGAGAATCAGCAAATAATAGAAAAGTTTTTATTTTTTATTATACAAAACCCATATGAATAAAATATTAGTGTATAATATATTAATAAAATTAAATTTTTTAAATTGAATTAAATTATTATTGCGAATGGTATCGCATCTTTCTCATGCGACGGCACTTGAATGGTGAATCCCACTGAGTCAATTCAATTATAAATGTTATGTCATAATTTCTGTGGGATTCAATATTCTTGTTCCGGCCTAATAGTTTCTTTTTTTAGTTAGTTTAAAGTCATATATGCGTCGGCATCCACCTTATGTTACTAAACTTCTGGCTGTTTATTGAAGTAGAAAAACATACTTGAACAAGAGCAGATATTTGCTGTCAGTTGCAGTTACTGTTCTTTTGAGGGCAGCATCTAAAGCTCGGTGAAGGTACTTCTATTGACCCCTGCTACCTATCACTACGCCACAAAGAGTGTACCACACATCGACTAAATTCTTTCTCCACACGATGTTTGCTGTTGCTTCATAAACTCGTGTATTTTATTTCTACTTGCATGAGTGTTTCTCTTTTTGGCAATTCTTCCACAAATTGTATTTTTATTTTTTCGATAGCTTAGGAATTTTTAATATTTCATTAAATTAAGTGCTTCAACGAAGTCTACTGGAGGCAGTCAGCCAAACACGGTTGTGCTACGAGTACTCATTCCTCGCTGCCATAGTAGGTTGTAGGTTGTAGGTTGCTCCATCCTGTCGCTTCCTCTTAACGCTACGCCCCACTATACTATGCTTTGGTGAAGTTAGTTCGGAACTCTAATTTTGGTGTTTGTAAAGAATCTCAAGCAAAGGCAGTTGTAAAAATACGTAAAAGTCTGACTGAATGAGTAGGTAACAATTGTTGAGGAGTAGTGAAGGGACTTTTTTCCGCTGTTAACATCTTTTGTACACTGTTATTTTTTCATTTCATGAAATTCTTTTGCAAATTAACATGATTTTCAATTGTTTACAACTTTGGAACATGCGCTACCATCAAGAGCAAAAATTGGGCCAGAAATTTATATGGAAAAGTAGCGTAAGAAATTGGAATTTCGCCGACTCTATAGTTCCTGCCATGCTGGGTTGTGTTGCTGCTTCTGTTCGTGGCGGTTGATTGCGCTTTCTGCAGCGAACAGTGAAGTGGCGAGCTTTAACATTGAATTCTTTACTTAACTATGTATTGGATACAGTGGGAAGGACCGTGGGTAGGTATCGATAAGGGTGGCAAAATCACCAACCAAGCGTAAATCCAAGTTCACTTACAAAATACTTAGTAATATTCCAATATTCCAGGACTTAACTCAATGCACAACTAAGAAAAGCGAGTAAATGTTTGTCGTATTTTTAGTCAATTCTACTGAGTTCCTCCTAAACTTTTTCTTTCAAACTACGCCTTTCCCTGCCAACCATTGTGTTTAACTCGCATTATGCTAAAAATAAAATTTAAACTGCTTAAAAAAGTAAAAAAGACAGTCAAGGTACAGAGCGTTTCCTACTACGTTGTCCAACACACACCCACATCAGGATTTTGTTTTCTTTCAAGAAGCCATTCGGCCACACAACAATTGCTCGAATACTATATATACTTTTTACTTTATTCAATTATTTTTGATGAACACAAAACTGTGAACGACTTTATTTCCAATATCACAATTTTTCTGCTTCATTTCTAATAATGAAACTGAGAAGAAAAGTAGCCACCTACAAAGGCAGCAAAATTGGATGAATGAGCAGCAGTAGACAGCTTTATTGAAGGTACTAAACCTCTTAGGAAAAATTAAAGCCAACGATTCAAAAAGGTTTTCACAAATGCTTACGTTTTAAAATTAATTTTAAATAATTCTAACTCTAAATGATAGTATATTCGCGTTCTGATTTAAAAATTTGTTGAGAGTAGATACTCGGTATGTATGGGTAGCTTATTCCGCACAAATCGATTGACCACCAAATATTGTGTGCTTATAACTTAATATTGCAGAGACATCATCAAAACTGCTTTTCGATATTGAATGTTTTAATACAACGTGTTCCCATTGGAACACATCTTCATGGAAGTGTAAACTTTTCAAGGGCATTACCCGCAGACATTTTATTCCATCGAGCCAAACCATTCATGGACAATACTTTTTAGAAATTTTAAACAGTTTCCTATGTGAAATTTGTCGGTCAAAGCATTGTGTAGAAGAACTATGTTTTTGTTGTAGAATAGGATGGAATATTGTCGATCCAAACAGTTGCTGTATTTCTAGAGTCTGATTAAAAATCAGATTTTTATTACCAACCACTTTATGTGTTGAACTGATTTGGAGAAGTGCAGCGTTTTTCCATTTCAGAAGAATTTTTTTTTTACGATGAATAAAATGTATTTTGAGAAAGAGTCAAAGTCATTCACACTACTTCTACCAAATAGTCCACAAGAATTTTGGAGTATTTTAATAGCAACACTAAATCTTATGTTTTTACAGAGTTTAAGGTATATTGTATACATAACATATAGAATAAACATTCTAGAAGTGGATATAAAAATAATTAGACTTTTATTTTATTTATTAGGAGTCGCAAAACAAGATGTCTTCTTGTCTGAAAACTTGTTTTTAGTATAAATATGTTGAGACAAGTTCCTCTCAATTCGATGTCAGGAAATAAGCATTACGTTCGGTATTACAGTGTCGGTGTTACAATTTTTCCATATTTGAGTAGAATTTATAATTATATATGGTTTACCATATTAATACTTATTATGTTCAACAGATTAAACATATTTTTTAATAACTACAAAATGTCATCGAAGCATTTATTCAAGCCAATACACTGAGTATCACGAAGACATCAATCAAAATAATCAAGATAGCACGATATTTGACTATAATATTTTATAGTCTTTCAATATTCACATTTTACGTATGAAACACTACGTCTTCAGCATTAACCGACCGACTTATTTTTATTATCTAACTGCATGAGTATTACGAGTAAAATTTTCTCAACAAAAAGAGAAAGAGAAATGGAGAGATGTTTGTAGTTTAAATTGATCTACAGAAGAAAAAAACTGTTCATAGATTTTGAACTGATCTCATAGGTCTTCTGTAGCAAAGTAGTGTTTTGATCGCTTTTCCGATAATTCAAAGTCTACTTGCATCCAATATTGAAATGTGAATCCATTCGCATAACGTTGAGTAGTTTTTTATGGTGAAGCTCTATGCATTATCAGTTTGATTGCTTTAATTTGTAAGTATTTTTAAGTAAATATTATGGGTATCTTATATATTGCAAACCACTTCATCGCAATTTCAAAATGCTTAGTAACATTAGCGATATTTGTAATATTTATAATATGACACACAACATATAAATTATAAAAATTTTAACGAGAAAGGAAGAAAGATTATAAATCAAAGATAATATTTATGCGATATATTAACACAAACTAAATTAAGCATTGTTCTCATCCGGCCATAACTTTTTCAATTTCTTCCACTGTCCGCGGTAAAACAGCGAAATTTTCACAGCCATCCATAGTTATTAAAATATTATCTTCAATGCAAATTCCACCGAAATCACGGAAACGTTCAAACATTTGAACGTTAAGGAATTGACTAAGTGCTGGCTCGGCTGTAGCACGATCCATTAACCAGCCCACAAAATAGCAACCAGGCTCTACTGCTAAGTACATACCGGCTTTAAGTAGACGTGCAAAGCGCAAGCATTTTAACCATGGCTCCGACGGTCGCTTGGGTTGTCCCTTTATATAGCCGCCCACATCATGTACATCTAGTCCCAATAAATGCCCAAGTCCATATGGTTGAAATATCCCCGCTAAGCCAGCATCTAACATGTCATTAACATCACCTTTAAGCATGCCACCCGCTTTAAGATGCGTCAACATAACACGATTTGCTAGTTTATGCATATCAACCCAGCAAACACCATCACGGGCCTTCGTCAACACCGCGTTGCGTGCAGCCAGCACAGCATTGTATATGAATTTTTGATCTTCAGTAAACTTACCATTTACTGGAAAACTACAAGTTATATCTGCTGCATAGCCACAGTAGTTAGCCCCCATATCAAACAGGCACATATCACCATCCTTTGTAATGCGATCATTTGGAGCAGCAGCGTGGCCATAATGCAGTATAGCGGTATTAACACCACTGGCGCAAATACAAGTGTACGAAGTATGACGGCAACCCCCTACTGCGTAACAGTGATGCAGAAAAACGGATTCGCCTTCGTATTCTCGTCTTCCTGGTCGCATAAACTGCATGACTTTTATGTGTGCTTCTGATGATATTTTCGCAACATAACGTAGGACTTCAATTTCTTCAGCAGACTTGACAACGCGACACTCAGCGATTATTGGATACAAAAACTCTTCATCAATTTTGAACTTCTCAATGCCAGGGAAATAAGCAGGTTTTGAATCCAATTCACTATCTGAATTCCTGCCGCTTAGCGTTAATAATACAGTTGGTGATGCTTTTTCAAAGAACATTTTTAATTGGTCCACATAAAGCACTTCATCAGTCTCATACATAGCTTTAAACTCATCCAGTGAGCGCAACCGACCAAACCATGTTGCATACTCCTCAACCAGTCGAGGTACAAATAAAGTTGATTTACCACTTTCGACATGTAAAACGCCATAGCAGTTCGGTTCCTTTACACCAAATAAATATTGAAAGTATGATCTAATAAATAAAAAAAATTCAACCATCTCCAGTGATATTAACAAATAAGTTACCTACTCTTGACGGAACGGATAATTAACATCTGTATCATTGAAGCTAACTTCCTTCCCACCTTTCAAAAGTACATAACTTGTTTTGGCTCTTATACCGGAACTCTCACGTAGAACTGAAGCAAGCTTATTTCGATTATTGCGAAATAGTGTCATAGGTACAACATGCGTGTCTGGTCCCATACGAAAGTTGGCCATTGTATATCTCTATATCAATTTAAAAACTTGATATAAGAATTTGAAAAAACCTGATATGTGTTTACTTATGTACTTGAATAATTTTTGCTACTTATATTCCCTTATTAATGTTATCGCTTATCTTGACTTGTGGCTTTTTAACAGTAACCAATCGTTTCACGCCGACGTGTGTAATCGAATTAAAATACGATATTTACTATTTCATTGCGGAGCACTCTACAACATAGCCCTTTATCAGACTCAAAAATAGAGTTGCCAAGTCATTGAAATAGTGTGAACAATTTTAAAGCTTCAACATGTGATTATATACTTGAACATTTCTCTCTGGTTAAACTTGACATACGTGTTTCGTGTTGTTTCGTAATGTTCATGGGGATCGGAGTCCTGAGAACCAAAGAGTGGATGAACAATTTGACGTCGGTCCTAAGAAATTCGTACGTATCGTAAGAACATAAGCGAACTTAACCCAAACCGAAATGCACAACCAACCATACCTCTGTAATGGATAGGAACGAAATAACCAAAAGCGGCGAACTTTGTTTATTTCGTTCCTATCAAATACACAGGTGTGCATGCTTGTGCATTTCACTTTGGGTTAAGTACGCTTATGTTCTTACGGTACGTACCGAATAACTGAGCCTTGAACAAGAGCTTGAACCGAATGAATTGAATTTTAGAGCAGCTATCCATAACCATATTTTAATATCCATAATATCTTTAACAATGAAGATACTGTTCTGGAAACATTTTTAGATAAACAAAAACTATCAGTGTGGTGTGATTTGTGGTCTAGAGGTGTGATTTAAGTTTACTTTTTGAAAATAAAAATGGCAATACTACTGAGAATGCTAGAGAATCATGACCGCTGACTTTATGCAACATGAAGTAAATGATTTTGATTTGGACGATATCTAGTTTTATGCTATATATACTTTGTGGCACTATTAATTAATTAAATTAAAAAAGCGTAACGATCACGTCTTAAAGTATAGTAGCTATTCAGATAGACAGTAGTGGGGCGCTATTAGTAGAAGTTATATTTAAATCGTCGAATTTTTTTCAGCCTTTTATGTCTCAACAATTTGAAGTAATTGGTATGCCTATACTACTATCTTTGATTTCTAACAAGTCGTGACCAATTACTTACGCATTGCGGGTTTGTACGGGTTGTGGGTATATATCTTGGTTTCATATAGATGAGAAAGTTTAAGTTCAGTGATTTGAAAAATTTTCCATTCAGAACGCATAGTTTCGCAAATACAAAACAAAAAAAGAATTGAAATATATTTTTAAATTCGTAACGCTTAAAAATCACTTCACTCTTCGGGCTAAATGGTAAGAATGAAAATCGAAAGGGTGGCACCAACAAACACATTCCGGCAAAAGTTACTTAAGTACGTTTTACATACATATGCGTGCGTGTATATTTGTATTGTTCGAAAAGTATAACTCATTTACATTCTGGTAATGTTTTAACAGGCAACAGAATCAAAACATGATGAAATTACCAGAAAAGGTAAGTGTGACCCTAAAGGCGTATTAGACGTGTGTATTATATTGTATTTATACCGCACACTTACATATACGCATACAATTGCACATACGTACATTGTGTTTGTACGAGTAGTTGTGTATTCCCAACTACTGGTGTTGGAGAAGTAGTCTAATTGAAAAAATGCTCACATAGCATTTCCCAATCGGGGAATTCAACGGCAAATGCCATTGCATATAGACGCTGGGATAAATCTTCACTTCAATACCTATCAAACCGACTAACTATATTGCTCACCCCCACTAACAGCGCCATACGACCTATACGAGCGGTGGAAGCTGTGCGAGCTGTACGAGCTGTACGAGCTGTACGAGCTGTGTTTTGCCTGGAATCCAACATCCTCCTTAATCCGTGTTTCGGGTTGACATTTGGGAACTTTCGTACGGGCACGCAGCATAAAATATTGCAAAAAATTGGAGGAAAAAATGTGAAAACTTTTTGGCGCAAACATTTTGGATTTTGATTCGTAGTCGGCATTCAAATTAAAGTTGAAATTGAAGTTAGAAATTTAGTTCTGTGCGTTCTGTTTGCTTGCATCCAGTTATGGAGTTATGGAGTTGAGCAGTTAAGAATGGAAGTTGGAGCAGAGTTGAGCGTGATTTAAAAGGGAATAAATCTTGCGTTAAGTTCGATTACTTGTGCAGCCATCACGTACAATGTGAATTTGAAAATTTGGAAATTTGGAAATTTCGAAATTTGGAAATTTGGCAATTCGGAAATTCGTTAAAGTTTATATCTGAATCGAGTAACATGGCAAAATATTTCGTTTATTGTGAAAGTTTTCAATTATACGTTTGAAAATAATTGAAACTTTTAGTTGGGATTACTCTATTCCATTTAAGTACGGCGCACCAGTGTGTAGTGTGCAAACACTTCACATTTTGCACTAGAATATTTTCTTTATTCTTTATTAATATGAAAATATTTGTGTCATTCCCAATCAACCCAATTAGAATACGGGTAGGATGCGGATAGAGAAGAGAAATACTGAAAGTATTAGTCACTTGTTTTATAAATCTCACGATAACATATATGATATAATATAAGTTGGTGATATATTTATTGATTTATGGATAAGTAGACGTGTGCCCTATTTGTATTTGTAAAATAAATACCATAAAAGGGGGCGTTCAGATTTGATTCTCTGAATGCTCATCTCTGAAGGATGAACTAAATAAAATATTAGAGGTGAATAGGTGAGGTGAATTACTAAATTCATTTGAAAAAAGTAGAATAAGATATTGAGAAAAATAAAGATAATATCAACTGTGAAATAGGATTCAAAATTTATTCCATACCTCAAACAAATATTAAAAACATACACGGTGTACTTACCTGCATAGCATAAAAATAACTTTATCTGCTATCTTATCTCTCCCTATCAAGTGACATATGTACATAAAATGATAAGTTACATCAAAGTATCAAGTGAATTCGCTTGACGTCAGTTTTTGACAGTAACCATTTGCCTTAACAAAGTAAGCACCCCCCCTCCTCCCGTAGTTTACAAGAAACTATGGGGGAGTGCTAGAACAACAAATTTAGAAGAAATGAAATTATTGATAGAAACACTGACTTGCATGTTGCACTTTATAAAAACTGTGTCTGCTTAACTGCTTAATGAATACCAAATATATCGATATAGACCTTACTGAATTACGAAGATTTTAAGACCTTTCCTACAGTATCGAAATAATTAAGACATCTACTAACACTAAGTTCTTGCAACTTAATCTGAACACAAAATTAATTTGTAGAACAAAAAATTTTCCCACGAAGCTGACCAGTTTGATCTAATAATCATATATAAAAAACACATTTAAATCTGAATGAATCTTTTGTGTCAGAAACAAGCTTCTAACCAATTGATAACAATTTAGCTTGCCTACTGACGGTGAGAAAGTCTTTTGCTAAGGAGTTTCTGATTATTGCCGGCATTAGGATTTCTAGATCTAATAATCTGTTATAGGCCAAAACACTTCGGAGTAGTTGAACGCAATGTGACAAGTGTTTTTCTCTTCCAGATCATGGTGTAACTCTGTCCTCCTGATTAAACACAACCATCAGATTCAGTCTATTAGTTCAGTCTACACTTTATTGTTTTTTGAATTTTCATTTTAAAAAATTTAGTGTGATACTAAGTTCTAACTCAGAGAGAATTTGAATAATTTATACTTGGTTACAATAAAATTATTCTTTGATTTTAGCTGCTTTCTTTGGATAGCCAAGCAGCTATTAAGGCAATCAAATCATACTGATCATCATACTGGTCAAGCTATAGCCAGACTGCCCTGCAATCGCAGATATTGTATGTACTGTATTTCTGGTTATAAAGGCATAGAGGGAAATGAGACAGTTGATGTTATTGCTAAAAATGGCACAAAACTTTCAGAGGAACAAACGATCGAAGTACTCGGACCTCTGAAACAAATACATCTACTTCTGGACAAGCGCATGACAAGGAGAGCAAAGCAAAGGTGGCGAAACTTAATCACCTGTAGAATAGCTAGGATCATGTGTAGACACATATGCGAGGAAGGAAAGGTACACCGAAACTGTAGTATATTAATCGATGTATTGACATGTGCATAAACTAAACCTAATTCGCAGCGATGCTTGTAGGAAATGCAACGAGACAAATGCAAAGGAAACCCTAGAACATCTGCTGTGTAACTGCCCGACTCTCTCGAGAACTCGACTAAAATACTTGGGGGCTATCAGTTTTACCGAACTAGAGTACATACCTGAGGTTTCTGTTGAAATCCTTTAACTGATATCTAATGGAATGCGGTGTTTCGCATGGAATTGTATTAAAGAAATGAATTAAAGTCGAGTACTTGTGTTTTCATAAACTCTTATTATCTTATCGTAAGGAAGGACTTTATCCAAATTAAGGCTCGAGGAACCTTATCACTAAATGCATTTCCGTATTTACTGGAGAGAAAGTTTAAAAGCCAAAGTCACTATAACAAATACTTTTTATAATTTAAGGAATTATTGACTACTTTTTTATTGTTTAATTCAAAATATTTCCGGTTCTGTTGACTTCGTTGCCCGGTAAGTTGGTTTGGTTTTAGTTTAAGTATCCAAGGAATTTTCATAATCCGATTCCCGATTCTAAACTATTTTGTCTGTTTGTTCACAAATCATTTTGCAGATTTTTAACTAAATTTCAGGAAAGCAAAGTGAACTCCTATTTTTCAGTGCACAGTCCCCTAAACAGTTTGCAAAATCTACAGAATTAATTACTTAATTTTACAGGCATTGTGTTCATGGAATAGAAATGTTGTTCTAGGCATGTTCCGCACAGATGAATCCTTTTGAAAAATTTCACTCATCGCATTAAGCAAACATACCATGCTGACGGTTATGATGTTGCAATTGTCGTTGTTGTTGTTATTGCTCCTGCCGTTGTTGTGCTGTTGTGGTGTTGTTGCGTTGCTGCGTTGTTGCGGATAATGACGATGATGATGATGCGAAAGCGTACCTAAGCAGATTAGCAAAGTTTGTAATTACGTTGGTAATTGATTAGGTTCGAACAACTAACTCTAATAAGATTATTGCGGCCAGGAAAGCGTATAAAGCATCAACAACAGCAACAACAACAATAGCA